TCAGCCGTAACACATCCTCTTCCAGACCACATTCAAACAATTACACCATCGTATTCACCTGTAACAGTCAGCCCGCCACATCCACACAAACCGACACACGGACAGACTCACACTCCTCACCTTTCAGTTTGTCGTCTCTGGTGATGATCTTGAACACGTGTTTGAACTCTTGCAGCAGAATCCCAGACGTCCCCACATACGACGGACACTTGGACCGCACCACTGCAGCGGGACAAGAACAGACGGTCATGTTGCACGAGCGTCAGTAGGCTTCAGTCTCTGCAGCAGCAGGAAAACCAGGAGGGGGGGGGCTGCAAAGAGGCTTGCAGTAAGCAGCTCAAACAGTTCAAACATGCTGCTGCAGTAAATATTATATCAATTTAAACTTCCAGATGTTTTCATGCTAAACATCAAAACTGACTCGGCCTGTTTGGAGAGTAAAGAAGGAAACCAGGAGCTTCAGGTGTCGCAGCGCGCTCGCAGCGCAGCGCAGCGCGCTCGCAGCACTGCTGTTCACGCGGTTATTTCCTAATAAAAGAATAAAACTGAGATGCAGATGAACATCTGAGAAGACTCGTGTCCTCAGGAAAGCAGTGAGTTTAAAGAGCACTTTCAGAGGAGGGCAGCACTCTTACGTCCTCTCGAGGCTCAGGTCAGCACCTCTGGGACTCGTGGCGCTTGCAGAGGAGCAGACTTACTGACGTGACCACGTAACCACAAACTTCATTTCAGACCAAAACGATGACTGGGAATGGCACAGGACGCCTGGAACACTGACTTTTTACATTCCTGAGTTTTCTGCTACAAATGAAAGAAGAAGAAGACGAAGACGAAGAAGACGAAGAAGACGAAGAAGAAGAAGAGTACCTGTGAGGATGGCTCCGTGGAAATCCGCCTTCAGGAGCTTCTGCTGCACGACCTGTGGATTGCTGTGAAAACATCAGGATGAGGACTCAGCGAGAGCAGGACAAACATCTGGACAAACATCTGGACAAGCAGCTGTCGAGGACGCCGATTTACCTCGTTGACTTCAATCCCCCACACAGGTCGATGATGTAGCGTCTCCAGAGTTCATGCAGAGGAAGGAAAAGCTCGTATCTGCAGTGAGGAGGACAAAGACAGTGATGCAGGTGGAGGAGCAGGTGGAGGAGCAGGTGGAGGGTTTCTCACCAACCTCTGGTGTTCAGGCTTGACCTGGAAGACCTTCAGCTCCCTCTTCTGCCGTGCGTTCAGCCCTCGGGCCTTGGCGCTCTTCCTCCGCTCCTTCTTGGGCCGGCTGTAGCCGAGGATCACGGCTTTGTGGCTCAGCATGTTCTGCAGGTCGTGGCGTCTGGGCTGCTGGAGGCTGTTCTTCAGGAACGCCTCGGTGAACGCCTTCGCTTTGAATCTGCTCTGAGGCTGACAAAGATGTTTGAAGAAGGGACATCAGGTGATTATTAAAGAGTCACGACAGCGTGTTTGGCAGAGCACGAGTGACGTCATCGCTCAGCACAGAACATGAAGGACGTTTGCAGTTTGACTTTTATCTAAAGGACGTTACTGGCTGTCCCATTAAACCCTGAGGGCGGAGCTACAAAACCTCCTCGCTTTCTTCAGACAGCGCAAAGCGTCGCTTACCTCAACACCAAGAACGTCCACCAGCTCACGAGGAATCGGGGCTCGAACCAGACCTTCTGTGGAGAGGACACAGACATGGTCACTGAGGCGTGAAGCACACAGAGGGGCGGGACAACAGAGGACACGCCTCAAGGGTGGGGGCCACACGTCCAAAGGGGGGACACATATAAAAACGTTTGACTAAAATAAAAAGATGCAGCTTCTGTGTCAGTTTGGCAGAACCTTCGATTCCTTGATGAATCAGGTAACTCGGC